GAAGAAATCGCGGCAGTGCCAGTGGCTAAGAAGTCCGCCAGGTACACGCAGTCAACGCTGCCGTGGCCCAAGAAGGGAGGTCCCGCTGGTGCAACACCGGCTTCGCCAGCCGACCAACTGTCGACGCCCGCGACCGCAGGCACGCAGGCGTCGCCCTCAGCACCTGGGCCTTCTAAACCGGCAGGGCCAGACGCAACCTATGCGGAGGCTCTGTATAAGTACAAAAGCGAGTGGCTCGAGCGGTTTTCTTGGCTTATTCTGCTAAAAAAAGCTGACGGTTTCCCCGCTTTCAAGTGCATCATCTGTACGGAGCACGCAGGCTACGCTGGACCGTGTGGGAGAGGCGGAAAAGGCGCCACAGACGTTCAGACGCAGGCGTTCAAACGGCATGCGGCAACTACCAAGCACAAGGAGGCGTTGAAACACCAGCAGAAGCTTCTCGACGACGCCGCTACGCAGCCACGGATCAACGGCGACAATCTCGCTCGCGACACGGAGAAGGAGCGGGTCGTCAAGCTCCTCGACTCCCTGCTCTTCGTGACCAAGCAAGATGCACCCATAGAGTTATGGGTGAATCTTGTGCGCTACCTCGCGCGACTCAAGGTGCCCGGGTTCCCAGCAAAAGGCTACGGAACCTATTATACTACGTGAGTGTTGAATTAATCTAACTGCAACCGTGTTTGTGAAACTCAACCGAATTATCTGACGTTGTGTTGTTTGACATGCGCTGCAGCTACGGCTTCGGGCAGCTGACACAGTCGATGGCCACATGGTTGCACACAACGCAACTGCAGCACATCCTCAGCAGCCCATACATTGGCGTCACGTGCGACGAAAGCACGGACAGGTGTCGGGGAAAGCATATGATTGTTTTCGCGACATTCATCCGTGAAAATCGTCCCGTGACTGAGTTCCTTGCCCTGCTGACCGTGGAGAAGGGCGATGCAGCCTCTCTCCTCTCAGTGCTCTTGTCCCACCTGCAGGCCCTAGGCATTGAAATGGCGAGGATATCCGGCATAAGCACTGACGGAGCGAGTGTGATGATGGGGAAACACAACGGCCTTGTCGCTCGACTTCGCCTCCGCATCCCGCATCTTGTTTCGAGCCACTGCATCGCCCACAGGTCAGTTTTCATCTTCTGTTTACTGCTTCCATACAGTCCCTGCTGCATCCCCTGCTAACCCCTCCTTGAGCCGGTTTTAATGCTGGTGTGCATACAGGGAGGCCCTCGCAGCAAAGGACGCCGCTGAACAACTCCCCGAGTTCGGCATGGTGGACTCCCTGCTCCGCCAAGTGGCAGAGCATTTGGGGCGTTCTGGCCCGTGGCATCAACGCTTCATTGGCCTGCAGGAGGTGTTCACGAAAACAAACCTGGAGCTACAAGGGATCCACGACGTCCGCTGGCTCTCCCGCGGTGACGCCATTCTGCGCGCAGTAGAGGTCTTCCCCGCGCTGATCGTGATGCTGTATGAGTGGGACATCACCCTCTACGAGCTCGCCACGAGCTACAGGTTTCACTTTCTGCTATACTTCCTTGCAGACGACCTCGAGCAGCTCAATGTGCTGAACAGGGCATTCCAGCAGCGTGAGGTGAGCTTGGTTACTATCGTTGCTGGATTGTGTGCCTTGTTTCGGTTTGTGAGTCACTGTTTGATGTATTGCTTAAGCAGAATCTGCTTTGCACTGATTTGGCCTTCTCTCCATCCTCTGTTCGCCCTGTTGACCCCTAACAGCTGGACATTGCAAGTGTCCACGGGCAGATCCGCCGGTCGATTTCATTCCTAGAGTCCCGCTACGTCGACTGTAGTGACGACTTTGGAGGCGGGGTGAGCGCGCGCCTCTCCCCGTTCATCAAGAAGCACGGGCCTGAGGGGGGCAATCCCGAGGTGAAGGTGCAGGGAGTCGACTCGGACGGGCGGCCCACGACACACACCTTCGAGCTGCACGAGAAGCCGAGCGAAGACTACCCGACCCTCGGCTCCCACGACGCCTGCGTCGATCTCTGCACCACCTTCGCCGAGACGCTCGTGCAAAACCTCAGCACACGGTTCCAGGACCTGGACTCCCTGGTGGGAGTGCGGCTGTTCATGCCTGACGAGTGGGAGCTGGGGAGAGCAGAGCGCCACAGGCAGTGTCTCGAGTGGCTCGAGTCTCTCGTGAGGCTGTTCAGGGCACAGGACACGGACTACATCATTCCAGGTATTCCCGCTCTCGCACTGTTGCTGTCCGTCTTATTGTGTCATTGCATTTCATCAACGTATGGTGTACGCACTTGCCAGCCTTTCCAAAACCCCCTCTCTCTCTCCCTTCCGCATTATGTGGCAGGGGTCGACAAGCGGCGTGCGATCAAGGAGCTGCGGGCCTTCTGCCCCATCCTCGCAGGTGCCCCGAAGAACGAGCGGAGCTTCCACGCAGGCCTAACAGCAATGCTGAAGACAAGCGACTGGGCGACTGGCTACCCCAATCTGGTGCGTCTCTGGGTGGCTGTCGCCGTGCTGCCGCTGAGCACAGTGGAGTGTGAGCGCGGCTTCTCACGCCAAAACGTTATCAAATCGTGGCAGCGGGGGAGCTTGAAGGACGCCCGCCTCGAAGACCTCGTCACCATGTCTCTACTCGAGTACGAGCCCAACTACGATGAGGTGGTGCAGATCTGGCGCAGCTACAAGAAGCGCCGCCCATTCGGCAATGTGGCGGCACCACCCGAAAGAGAGGGAGAGGGCAGGGATAGCACGGGAAAGGAGGCCCTAGAGGAGGAAGAGTGGGCAGAACGACAGGCTAAGGGAAGAGAAGATGATGATGACAAGCAGGCCTCATCAGATGATGATTACTGAACTCACCCAGACCCAGAGTCATGCTGGATGCAATGCATAGCTAGCTAGCAAGCAAGATAGGCTTTGGTTTACAACACAGATAGATAGATTGAAGGCTGTTTGCGACCTTCATAGAGTTTTAAGTTAAAAAATCAGCTTCACTACTATCAGCCTTTTTCTATAGGTGACACTGATGCATCAGACTTTTTTTTTAAGTAACACTGAACTTTCAGGCTTTTTTCCTAGGCGACCCTGTCGATCAGGGTCTAGGGCCAGAGGGACCCTGATACCAGGGCCTATTTTTGGATTTTAGGTACTCTGATTTCCAGAGTAGTTTTTTTCCCAACTCTGAAATCTAGGGTTGTTCCTGCGCCTTACTCTGATTTGTCAGAGTAACCCTATACTTTCAAAAAAAAACCCAGGCACGTCAGAGTAATATTTTTCTCTACTCTGATGTTAGTTAAGTTTGGTGTACCATGACCTTAATAGGTTTTTGTTACGCCTTTTGTACTTGCATTTCCGCGTCGCCCACGTTTCCCCCCTCACTGCGATGTTTCAGAGTGAGGTGTTGGCGGCACCGATAATCTGACTAAGGGCGTGTCCGAAGTGAAACGTCAATAGATGTCGCTGGATGTCGGTAAATGTCATCCCTCGGATCGACAGTTCCAACCATCAGGATTTACCGACATCCCCAAACGGATGTCCACGGATGTCGACGTTTCACTTCGGACACCCCCAAAGAGCGTGTCTGAAGTGAAATGTCGACGGATGTACAGTTTCGTCGGGGAATGCTGGCGAATCTCAACCCTCGGATTGAGCGTTCCGACCGTCAGGATTCCTCGACGTCCCTCAAAGTTTCGTCGGGAAACGTCGACGTTCACTTCAGACATAAAGAGAGAGGGGACTGGCTGGCATCGTGCGCTGGTTGGGAAAGTTGTCAAACTACGGTAGCCAATCAGTGCTCTGCTCATATTGCCGCCAACACACGACAGAAATCAGGAGAATGATCTCGACGATTCGGGGAAAACCCGCTAAACGCAGGGGGAGGTGGGGAGGGGAGGGGGGCGGGGGAGGGGGGGCCGGCAGGTATTCCCTATACAGAGTAAATTCGGTCCCCGAAAAAAAAACCCAGAGGCCTCAGAGTAAACTACAGCATAACTCTGACAAATCAGAGAAATCGGAAGTCCCAAAAAAATTACCCAGCGGGTACAGAGTTACTTTCAAAAATGACTCTGATTTTCAGAGAAACAGAGTAATTTACTCTGAAAACGTGAGGCCTGCCTGATACCCTTACGTGCCTCAAAGTGAATCTGAGGGCCTGGCTGCCGCCCACTACCTCCTCTCCTCTCATAGTCCCTCCTCCTCCACACGTGCCCTCTGCGATAGTCTCTAGCTTTGCTTACATTTGTGAACTTTAAACTGTTGCTTCTTGTACTTGTGCTCAAAATGTGTGGTGACATTGTGATCCACCCTGAGCTTGCTTTGCTTTGCTTGTTGTGCTGATCATACCCCACTTTGACTATGGGGGTGTGTCAGAATATTATGTTTCTCTAGTCTGCAGTGGGGTACTCAATAGTGAGTACAGCCCAATCTAGGGTTTCCCATATGTACTCAACTGCTTGCTAGTGAAATCACTTCATTCTCACATCACTTCCATTCATTCCTATTATTTCACACAGTAATGCTTCGTCTTTTACTATTCGTAACAGGGTATAGGGTCATCTTGAGGCCTAAACTTTAATTTCTTGTATTTTCCAACTCCTTGTGAGTTGAGCTTTTAGTAATATCTTAAGAACACTCTTGGGTATTCGTTTTAAAAGATGCTAATGATGGATTACCATAGATTTCGAATGAAGCTCCTAAGAAAACCCAGATCTGTGTACATGCCCAGTCTTCTTGAAATACCCAGAGAAAATCTATTGTAGACTAGCAAATTTGCAATGGAGGCCACGCCCCATCTGTTCACTTGGATTCGAAGTCTACAAACAGCTCTACTTTACAGTACACTGTCACGTCTAGCATCTAGCTCCTTTGCACTGTACAAACTGTTACACTGGCCAGGCCAGCTGGTTGACAAGCAGAGAAATCAGTAAAAGTATCAGCTGGTTTTCCCCCTTCCGTCTTCTCCCCTCCATGGTGCCTCCTACGGTACTCCCCCTCAACCTACTTGCAATCAGCACAGAGCGTGCAATGCACAGGAAGCTGATACTACCAACCAACAGCACAGCACAGCGTGGTGATAGACGGGGCAGCAGGGAGGGGGGAGTGGTTGGTTAAAAGGCGAGGCAGGGGAGGAGGAAATATAGCAGAAATCTTCCTGGTGTCATTCCATCTTCCTTAGAGATTCATTTCCCACCTCAGCCCCCTGGTGTCATCTCTAAAGCCCCTCTCCCCTTCCCCACCCCTCCGCCTGCCCGCTCCCCAGCCCTCCGATCCCCGCTCGTCCCACCCCTCTGCACTGCTCGCATCATCACGTGTAGCGAAGAGCCTTGCAAAGGGGATGGAGCGGGCGGGGCGGCGGGGAGGACAGAAGCTGCTGCAAGCACAGCGTGGCGGTAGATGAGGGAGAGGTAGAAGGCAAGGCAGAGGAGGAGGAGGAGGAGGAGGAGGAGGAGGAGGAGGAGGAGGAGGAGGAGGAGGAGGAGGAGGAGGAGGAGGAGGAGGAGGAGGAGGAGGAGGAGAAGAAGAAGAAGAAGAAGAAGAAGAAAGGAGCTCCCTCAGAGATTCATTCCCCATCTCAACCCCTTGGTGTCGTCCCATAGACCCTCGCCTTTTGAGACGTCTGGTGTCGTCCCCATAAACCCTCTCCCACCCCTCGACCTGGCCCCTCTCCCACCCTCCGTTCCCCACTCGCCCCTCAGAGATTCATTCCCCATCTCAACCCCTTGGTGTCGTCCCCATAGACCCTCGCCTTTTGAGACGTCTCAAAAGTCATTCTCCATTTCACCCCCCTGGTGTCGTCCCCATAAACCCTCCCCCACCCCTCGACCTGGCCCCTCTCCCACCCTCCGTTCCCCGCTCACCCCTCAGAGATTTATTCCCCATCTCAACCCCTTGGTGTCGTCCCCATAGACCCTCGCCTTTTGAGACGTCTCAAAAGTCATTCTCCATTTCACCCCCCTGGTGTCGTCCCCATAAACCCTCCCCCATCCCTCGACCTGGCCCCTCTCCCACCCTCCGTTCCCCGCTCACCCCTCAGAGATTTATTCCCCATCTCACCCCCCTGGTGTCGTCCCCATAGACCCTCGCATCTCCAAACACCCTCTCCCCTCCCCCACCCCTCCACCTGCCCCCTCCCCCACCTGCCGCTCCCCCCTCCCCTCCACGCACTGCCCCTGCATTATCACGTGTACCGAAGAGCCTTGTAAAGGGGATGGAGCTGGTGGGGCCGGCGGGGAGGACAGAGGCTGCTGCGAGCACAGCATGGCGGTAGATGAGGGAAAGATAGAAGGCGAGGCAGAGGAGGAGGAGGAAATCGTCTAAGAGACCAACGATGCCCATGGCGACTGGAGGGAAGGGAGAACAAAGGAAGAAAAGGCACAGGCACATGGGTGAGAGGGAAGAGAAAGAGGCAGACACATGTGCGAGAACGAGCACAGCGTGGCGGTAGTTGAGGGAGAGGTAGAAGGCGGGGCAGAGGAGGAGGAAGAGCAGATCAGCAATAATTCTCATCGGAAGTGACAGGAATGAGGAGCAGGGGGAGCGGGAACTAGACTAACGAATTTCTATCTCCTGGGTTTATATTCCTTCCTTGCTTAACTCTATTTATACATTTTTTATTTGTTTGCATAAAACAGGGAAACGCAATGAAGCCACGGCATCACTTACATTCTGGAATGAGGTCAAATGGTGACAGCACATACACGAAAACAATAGCCACCTGCAGATGTGATTATAACGGGGATCTAGGAGAAATCAGTTATGAACACGGAGAATGGTGCAATTGATGGAAGGGATGAGCACACATTGCAATTACCATGGGGAGTGAAATGTCGTGAGATGTAAAAAAAGAAATGAAGCGACATAAACGAACACAATGGCCTCCTGCATTAGAAGATAATCATGTATGATATGAGAGCAAAATCAGTTGGAAATGGAGAAAGCCTGTGCAAACTTTGAACGTAAAAGGTCCAGAGGAAGAATTCACTCACACAGAACACCATTCGAGGGTTGTGCATCAAGCGGAGGGCCCTCAGTGGATCGGAGAGGTCTAGTGAGGCATGCTTGCACAGTTTGACTCGCAACCACAGACGGACGCACATCCTAGCCCCGTTCTACTCACACAGAACACCATCCGAGCGTTGTGTAGCAAGCGGAGGGCCCTCAGTGGATCGGTCAGGTCCCGACCTAGTCGAGAGAGGAGCAGAGGCATGTCCAGGATGCGCTGGAGAGTGTTGAGGAAGGGTGAGAAGAGGTGGGGAGAGGTGGAGAGAGGTGGAGAGATGTGGGGGGAGGGAGTTAAAAACAGCCAAGCGGAGAGCTCTTAGCAGGTCGGTCAGGTCCCGACCGAGTCGAGAGAGGAGCAGAGGCATGTCCAGGATGCGCTGCAGAGTGGTGACGAGGGGTGGGAAGTGGTGAGGAGAGGTGGAGAGATGTTGGGAGTGGTCGGATGAGGAGGAAGGAGGTATGAGGGGAGTTGGGAACAGGCATGAGGAGAGCTCTTAGCGGGTCGGAGAGGTCGCGAGCGAGTCAGTCAAGAGAGGAACGAGTCTGTCGAGGAAGCGCTGGTGAGTGGTGAGGAGGGGTGGGAAGAGGTGGGAAGAGGTGGGGAGAGGCGGGGAGAGGGAGTTGGGAACAGGCATGAGGAGAGCTCTTAGCGGGTCGGAGAGGTCGGGAGCGAGCTAAGAGAGGAGCAGAGGCATGTCCCGTATGCGCTGGTGAGTGGTGAAGAGGTGGGGAGAGGTGGGGAGAGGTGGGGAGAGGTGGTGAAGAGGTGGGGAGAGGTGGGGAGAGGTGGGGAGAGGTGGGGAGAGGTGGGGAGAGGTGGGGAGAGGTGGGGAGAGGCGGGGAGAGGTGGGGAGAGGTGGGGAGAGGCGAGGAGAGGTGGGGAGAGGCGGGGAGAGGTGGGGAGAGGTGGGGAGAGGCGGGGAGAGGTGGGGAGAGGCGGGGAGAGGTGGGGAGAGGTGCGAAGAGGTGGGGAGAGGTGGGGAGAGGCGGGGAGAGGTGGGGAGAGGTGGGGAGAGGCGGGGAGAGGTGGGGAGAGGCGGGGAGAGGTGGGGAGAGGTGGGGAGAGGCGGAGACAGGTGGGGAGAGGTGGGGAGAGGCGGGGAGAGGTGGGGAGAGGTGGGGAGAGGTGGGGAGAGGCGGGGAGAGGTGGGCAGAGGTTGGGAATCGGGAACAGCCAAGAGGAGAGCCTGGTCGAGTTCAGAGAAAGGCAGAGGCACGTTAAGAATGCACATGTGAGAGAGGTGGGAATAGGCGGGAAGAGGTTCGGAGAGGTGGCGATTGGTTACACAGTCTGGTTCAGAGAGGAGCAGAGGCATCTGAAGAATGCTCTGGTGAATAGAGAGCAGGGGTGGGCGGAAAGGGGCTGGGAAGAGTCATATATGCCAGCCTACTCGCTACAAACTTGTTACACAGGAGTAAGAGCACGTGTAACTCCGTTACCTGCCAAACCACTGTTACATGCCCCAGCATATTACCTGCCAGAGCGACACGGGCACCCCTCCAAAGAGCCGGTTGTAGCGAGCCACCTCCCCCAGCAGCTCCACACAGTGTTCCGAGGAGAGAGGAAGGAACATGTCTTGCTACACACGTGCAATAACACATACACACCAGTAACGTCGTCCTACCTGCCACAGCGACACAGGCACCCCTCCAAAGAGCCGGTTGTAGCGAGCCACCTCCCCCAGCAGCTCCACTGAGTGCTCCGGGGAGAGAGGCAGGGCGCCGTCAGAAAGACGGTCAGAGTCTGATGGCTCAGAAGCAGCGGCGCTGGCTGTTGCTGATACCCCTAAGTTCGGATTCCCTCCTTCCCCTGCTGCTGATTCTGGTGGGTTGTGGTGGTGCTGCTGCTGTGGCCGATTCTCCTTCTCCTCCTGCTGCGGCGGCTGCTCCTGCTGCCGCTGCTGCTGAGAAGCTTCAGAACTGGAGGAGGGAGAGGGCCTAAGCGACTCCCTCCGCTGGGTCTCCCCGGGTTCAGAAGAAACTGCTCCTTGCGATTCCGTTCGCTGCTCCAAAGAGGGTCTAGCCGGATCAGGTGTAGAAAGCGTACAAGTCGCCCTTTGCTGGTCATCCAAAGCGGGTGCGGGTGGATCAGGGGAGGGCATTGGTTGTGTGGCTGGGTGGGTGGGCGGCGATGTTTGGACGGAGTGGGAGGGGAGGAGGAGGGTGATGGTGCGACGGCAGATGGGGCACTTGCAGGGGACCAAGGCTGAGCTGTGATGCCACACCCTCAGTATGCACTCCGCTGTTGGCAGCACAAGATAAATGGGGAGAAGACACGAGACAGTATGAGGCACATGGGGCACTTGCAGGGGACGAGAGCCGAGCTGTGATGCCACACCCTCAGGATGCACTCCGCTGGTTGTGATGTGTATGGTACACACATAGGATGGAGATGGGTTGATGTGAGGCAAATGGGTTGATATGAGGGAGGCGGGGCACTTGCAGGGGACGTGGGCTAAGTTGTGACGTGACACCCTTAGAATGCAATGCACCCCTCTGGTGGTAAAGCATGATACACTTTTGAGGATTCTCAAAATCTGAGTCACCTTCGAAATTTCTCAAAAGAAATTTCTCAAAAGAAATTTCTCAAAAGCCACCCTTAGAATCCAATGCACCCCGCTGCTGGTAACGCATGATACATGGGGAGACGGAACGAGGCTATTTAAAGCCCCTAGGACCATTCCTGCCCTCATTGTTGACCAGAGTTGACCAGAGCTGACTCACCACAGAACCAGTGGCCGCAGTTGGCTTGAGTGGGCAGGGCGAAGGCACCGTGGCACACACAGCACATCTCGCCCTCCGGTGGCCTTGGCTCAGACCCCCCTGCCATTCCTTCTCCTCCTCCTGCTGTTCTTGCTGTTGCTTCAATGAGAAGCCTCAGAGATTGACCAGAGTTGACCAGCATTGACCAAAGTTGACCAGCATTGACCAGAGTTGACTCACCACAGAACCAGTGGCCGCAGTTGGCCTGGGTGGGCAGGGCGCACACAGCACATCTCGCCCTCTGGTGGCCTCACAATCCGAGACGTCTCAGAATTGACAAGCGTTGACCAGAGTTGACCAGCGTTGACCAAAGTTGACTCACCACAAAACCAGTGGCCGCAGTTGGCTTGGGTTGGCAGGGCGAAGGCATCATGGCACACACAGCACATCTCGCCCTCTGGTGGCCTTGGCTCCGACCCCGCTGCCATCGCTTCTCCTCCTGCTCGTGCTGCTTCCACTGCTGCTCCTCCTCCTCCTCCTCCTCCTGTTGTTGCTGCTGCTTCTGCTGCTGCTCTTGCTGCTGCTTCTGCTGCTGCTCCAATGCCTTCTGCCTGAAAAACACCACTTGCTGGACCAAATCCACGAGCCGGACCAACTCCAACTGCCGGACCAAATCCACTTGCCGGACCAACTCCTCCCGACCCTGTAACACTGGCAGTAGCTGTTGCAGCAGCAGCAGCAGTACCAGAAGGGATCGCAGTTCCACCAAGGTTCTGGTTGCTGCTGATGCTTCTCGTGGCGTGGGGTGGCGTGGAACGGAAGAGGGAGAGGAGTGATACCCTGAAGGAAAGAAAAGTGGGGAGAGGAGGGGAGGGGAAGAAAAGAGTTGGAGTAGGGCGAATCAAGAAAGGTGAGGGTTGGACAACGAAAAAATTATGCCGTTAATACCACTAGAAAATTTTGACGACTTGAAACTTATGAATTGTCTCAAAGAAGGGGCGGAGATTTGCAGGAAAGAGCTGAGCTGGGCTAAAAATATAGAATGAGCTGACCTTAGGTGTGGAGAGGAACGCAACAGCCAGAGAGGAATACCGAAGACTGCTATTAACGCGTACAGCACCTCGTCACCCACACCGTGCACCAGCGGCATCAGCGCACCACACTGGGAAGAACTATATTCTATTACTACCCTCGCCGTGGGCTAATTTCGATGCGCCTTAAAACATGAGGAGAAGAAATACCCTACTATTAGCTCGCCAAAGGCTAGTGACCTCAAACGACTGTTGAATCTAGAACAAACTCGCTTGGAAAACGGAAAAATGCTCAGATTTTTTTCGAAAGGACACCCTGCTAATATAGTGAAAGCGAAGGATTCGGCGAAGTTGGGCGTATGTAACCGTTAACAGTCTTCTCGTTAATTCAACGCCTCTTCGACAGAATTCACGGGTCACGAACGATGCGACGCAAAACAACGACAGGAAGGAGTGGAAGCCACTGAGCAGAAAACTAGGCTTCAAAATAATGCTGAAATCAATTTGCGATTCAGATGAGCGATCAGTGCGTTCGTTCTTACTCCGTTTAGTGTGTTCCGAAACGGTCTGAAACGCATATGATAAAACATTCACCGTACGGAAAATCTCTCAACCCACTTATGGGACTCGCACGGACATTCCTGCCTGGCATGCGACGGGTGCTGCCTGTTGCTACTGGTGCGCCTGCGTCCATCGGGATTCCGTGTGGCGACAGTTCAACGAAACCCGTAGAAGAAATCATGTTGTTACATCATTAGTATAAATCATATCACTCTAGTGCACACCTAGTGCAAAACGGCATATAAACTACCCACAGTAAAGTTATTCCAGAACCAACTAAACAGCGCTTTCATAAGGCCGTACATTAAACGGCATTGCACATAAATACATTCAAGCAATTCACAGCACCCTGAATCAGGGCTGACGTTTCATTTTAAGCTTCCCTGATTCCGGGGAAAATTTTCCCCCTCTATTATGGGTGCACATTTTCCAGAAAAGCAGTACCCTGATTGCTCAGGGTTGTAAAGTAGTTAACACTGATTGTTCAGGGTCGAGAACTGAACATCAGAGTAGTAACGCGCGCTTTGTTACCGGGGAAAATATCCCCACTCTCCATAAAGTCTCGAAGTTTCGATCAGAACGAAGTTTCGAAGAAACTTCGTCTCGATAAAGCGGGAAGGGGGGGGATTACGCACATGTGGGGGGATCACTGCGATCAATCCAAGGCGGGGTCATCGGAAGGAAACTTCCGAGAAACTTCCTCTCGATAAGTCAGGGTCTTCCACTAACAGCCTAGTCTGTTACACTGTACTCAAAATCAGGGATAGCTAAACTATTACTCTGATTGGATCAGGGCTGGAAATTCAATAACTCTGAAATTTCAGTCTCCACGAAGTGGAAAGCTTGAAATCACCCTGAAATCAGGGTAATTACCCTGATAAAATCAGCCCTGCCCTGAATAAGGGATGGCAAGGAAGATGACGTGTGCAGATAAAATTTGCAGCGTTTCGCAAATCATCACCACCTGCGCTCCTCTGGTCCCGCCAGCAAACAGGCATCACCCCACCAGGCCCTCAGTTTGGTTTGTCAAAATAACGAACGAGAATGAATTGCATTGAGCAGAAAGTTGCTACAAGTACGAACCCTAATTGGGTTGTACCCCTTGTGGGCTACCCCACTATAGCCAACGCAAATGTAAGCATTATAACATTCTGACACTCCCCCATAGGCAAAATGGGGGAGAACAAGTGGTCACAAGACCAGTCAAGAAAAGCAAAGCAAGCTCAGGGTGGATCACAAATGTTGGAAACTAGTAATTTAAAACGCTTATGAAGTATCGAAGTATCGACACGAAACGGAACAAGCTCACAGCACTTGGGCTTGTTCAAGTTGTTTCTGGCTGAGAATTCTTCCCAAGAGAATTTCCTTAGAAGCAAGGAAGAACAAACAGAAAGAGAAACAGCAACTACTCTCTAATTCCTACGAATGCATTTTTATATGTACAGTACATTTACAATTCAAACATGCGGCTCGGAATGTCGATTCGGGTGGCCAGCCCCAACATCGAGCCGCATTCCATATTTCTACTCACATTTGTACACCACACTGCACCCACACACGTGTTACATTTCTATTCCTCCAAGTCTGGGCTTTCGCCACCTGTCCCACGCGGAAGTCCCCCCAAGTCAGTCAAGGCACGAAACCTCAGTTTCGCCCTTCTCACGTGGGTCCCCCACGTCCTGCTCACTTCCGCCCCTTTGCTGCCCACGTTCGCAGTTGCACGCTGCTGCTGCATGCTTTTGCCTCCCGTGCGCTTCACGCTGCCCCCAGTGCAGACCCCACTTGTTACATTACCTCCCCTCCCTGAAGGCACCGTCCTCGGTGCCAATGAGGCAAGATAGACTCCAATGGCACGAGGAGCATGGCTGAGGTTGGAGAACGGCTCCCATGAGTCTTCAGATGCTGAGGTGTTGCGCCAGTGAATGAGGTATTCATGGCCAACCGAAGTGTCACGGTGTGAGAGGATGGTGTCAACCTCATGCAGGTCCAGATGGGCAGAGAACATGGGTGGGCGGGGCTGGAATGGGTGAGAGGGAGTACGGTAAGGTCGAAGAAGGTGAACATGGAAAACAGGGTGTATGGTCATGTGAGGAGGAAGTTGAAGGCGGTAGCTGACCGGTGAGAGAACCTTGGTGATGGGGAATGGTCCAACGAATCTGGGTGCGAGCTTGCGAGAAGTTCCAGCATTCAGCAGGGGCAGGTTAGCTGTTGAAAGCAGCACCAAATCACCAACTCTGAAAGTGGTGTGACGCCTATGCTGGTTGGCATAGCGAACTTGGCGCTCTTGTGCAAGCTGAAGCTTCCTTCGGGCAAGTTGGAGAATGCGGTGATGAGAAGAGATGAAATCTGCTGCTGTGGGATTAGGGGAATGAAGAGGGTGAGGGAGGGATGTGACTGAGCGTGGTAGCTGTCCAGTAGCTAAAAGAAACGGTGGCTCTCCCGTGGCAATGTTGGGGCTGCTGTTGTAGGCAAACTCCACTGCTGCCAAGTGCTGATCCCAGTCAGTTTGCATAGAATTCACACACGATCGTAGCGCATCCTCCAAGGTTCTGTTCATGCGCTCTGTCTGACCGTCAGTTTCAGGGTGGTAGGCTGTAGAGAGTCGAATCTGTGTGCCCAGCAGTTGAAACAGTGCAGTCCAGAAGTTGCTGAGGAACCGTGTGTCTCAGTCACTGATTATGGCTGAGGGCAGGCCGTGTAGCCTCACCACCTGTGTGAAAAACAGCTTGGCAGTTTCAGCAGCAGTCACTGTGCCAGTTGTAGGGATGAAGTGAGCCATCTTGGACAGCTTGTCAATCACCACAAGAATGCTGTCAAAGCCTGTAGGGGTGCGGGGTAGGTCTGTGATAAAATCCAGAGAAACACAAGTCCAGGGAGCTGTGGGTATCTCCAATGGTTGCAGCAGACCAGCCGGTGCAGTGGTGCGAGCCTTGTTGACCTGACAGGTAGGGCATGAAGCGACGTACTCAGCTACACTCCGGGACAGTCGAGGCCAGAAGTAGTCACGAGAAATGGCAGCATATGTCTTGTCACTGCCGAAGTGTGACCGGTTGTCATGGTACTCGTGTAGTAGTAGCTGGCGAAGCCTGGAGTCATCAGGTACACACACAGCACCAGAATCTGCACGGGTCCAAAAGGGATTGCTGAAAAGAAAGGATGGGTCATGGGAGGCTTTCTGTTGGTACAGCTGATCACGGTTGTAACCACGGCTGAAACGAGTGATGAAATTGCGGTCCCATGTAACCACTCCCATGACATTCAGCTCCTCTGCTGCTGGCCGTGACAGAACATCCGCCGGATTGAAGCGCCCTGGTTTGTACACAATCTGAAGGTTGGGGACGTATTGCTCCAGAAACTGAACCCACCGCGCCTGCCGTGGTGTGATTTGTGACTGTGTTTTCAAGTACTCCAGTGTTCGGTGATCAGTGAAGACTGTAACGGGCTGCATCTCCACATAACAGTGCCACTTCTTCAGTGCATGCACCACAGCAAGTGCCTCTCTCTCGTGAATGGGGTATGTGCGCTCTGCAGCAGTGAGCTTCCGTGACTCAAAGGCTATTGGCTGCAGCCCAGCTTCCTGCTCCTGGCAGAGAATTGCTCCAAGAGCAACGTCTGATGCATCACACCAAATGAAGTATGGGAGCTCTGGATTCGGTACTGCTAGGGCAGGGGGTGAAGTAAGAGAAGTTTTGAGCTGCTCAAAAGCTTGCTGCTGCAATGGTCCCCAACTGAATGATGAGTCCTTCCGTAAGAGATCGGTCAGAGGTGCTGCCACTGCTGCAAATCCCTTCACAAACCGCCGGTAGTAGTTAGCTAACCCCAAGAAAGCCTGCACCTCCTTCACTGTACTCGGCTGCTTCCACTCCTTCAGGACTGCTACCTTGCTGTTGTCTACCTCCAGCTTCTCATGTGAAATGACATGACCCAAGAAAGACAGCTTGGTCTTTGCAAACTCACACTTTGAACGCTTGGCATACAATCTGTGCTCACTCAGACATGCAAGGACCAGCTCAAGGTGCTTTAGGTGTTCCTCACGAGCAACACGAGTCAACAAAAGCAACCGCTGGAGGTTACGCGAAGGTCAAATGTCGCTGACCTTTGACTCGACAAAAATTACAGTGCGATAGCAAGGACACATAACTGACTCGATACTGAGCAGTTACCCGAGCCGGCACTGTATCGAACCGCAACAGCAAAAAAATTGTCGAAATAGGCTAGTTAGACTTAGGAGCCATAGCTAGGTTGAAGTGTCGAGAGTGCTTTGGGTGAGGAAAGTCGAGAAGGAGAATGAGATGATTCACTATGGAAAGTTGGGATACAAATAGCAAACCCTAAATTGGGTTGTACTCACTACAGAGTACCCCACTGCAGGCTAGACAGCAAATACATTCTGGCACACCCCCATAGTCAAAGTGGGGTATAATCAGCAGAGCAAGCAGTCATAGAGCAGGTTCACAAGTACAAGCAAAGCTAGAGGCATTCACAAAGGGCAAGTGAGGAGGAGGAGGCTGGACAGTGAGAGGAGAGGAGATAGGAGGCAACGGCTGATGCTGCAGAC